GCTTACGTCTGAATTCACCTTGTAGATGGTTCTAAGTCATCTCACTGTGATCATTAGCGATTGTGACGTCAGTCAAACCGCCATCATTACATTGAAAACTGTCGTTTCCACGGAAACAGTTATTAGTAGGGGCAGAGACAATATCCAGCAATCAGCGTAATCTTAGGCGAGCCCGTAGCTAGACCGCTTTCATATTAGTTTGTTGTGCAAAGGCGTCGACACACACAAAAACAGTTTGATTTTCTAGAGGATAAACGGGTGGAAAGGGGCTCTAGTGGGGTTAAACCATTGTTTAAATCTACAATAATAATAATAATAATCATTATTATTATTATTATTATTTTGTAGAAAGGGCCCTTTTCCATGGTTTCATACGTAAATTGCAGAAAGTAAAAGTGAAGGACCTTCCTCCACGCCTACAGGCGTGTTGGGCATATAGGGCTAGACCTATATTGTAAACGGCACACCAGCCATCTTTTTTTTCCTGGACTCAACTTCGTACCCGTTCAATGCTATGTCGACCCGGGAGCAAAGTTATTTTCTGAAAAAATCTGGCACCGTCATTTGCCATATAGTGTTATATCTATATTTTTATGGACCGGTCAGCGCTTGATTAGTGATGTGGTCAACATCACGCCGGCCGCCTTTACTTCCTAGGACTTTTAACTGGTACCCATTTAAGGCTGGGTCGGCCTGGAAGTCAGAGTTTTTTTTTTTTTTTTTTTGGTAACAAAGTGCTGACCTGTTTGCGATTTGAACCTATGAGCTTAACATCCGCTGGCGACCGTCTAGACGTTGTATCACAGTGGCTTCCATTACCACTGTACGCTGAATATAAATAAAATATATAAATACACCCGAAATAATTCGAAATGTATGAACAAATACTTATAAAGATAGTTCAGAAGGGGGGGGGGGGGCGCACTTTACCCCTTCGATTATTCTTCGGGTTGTGGTGAAGGGGCAGGGGGGGGGGGGTCCTTGGAACCCTTATAAAGGTAATGGGGAAAGGGGGGGGTACTCTCAGCTCACTCATTTTTTGGAGGCCTTGAGTTACGCCGCCCCTTCCACAAACTACTTACTGGTGTTGATTTGGGTCGTTCTTTAAGCTTGCCACAATCTGCAACCGGGTGATTGATTTCGGCTCAACTGTTGTGTCTGATACCAGTGTCAACACAATCAAAGAGCATGTGGAGGCTGTAACGAGGGGTCGTTTTCAGTCTGTAGGGATCATGTTAAACTACTGGGATCATGTTACGTCACTTGAAGGAAGTTAAACTAGGGGGCCGGGTTCAACAAATGGAAGTTTATTAAACCAGAAGGCTACGTTTAACAATAAGGAATCCTGTTAATCCGCTTTGGTGACGTCCTACTTTCGTCGTAATTTTTTTTTTTTTTTTTAAATTCTTTTTTCCAATTCAGGGGTCATGGTAAACTGTCATCATTATCATGTACCATGCCGAGAACGCGTGGGCTGTCACGTTTCGCCAGCTCACTTGATCAAAATGATCACAGATCAGATCAATGTTCTTGTCTCATCCCTTCATTAGACCAAACCATCCAGGTGTTTAACTCTTTGTCTTACATATTCTCTCCCCCCCCCCCCCCCCCCCAACCCGACCCATCAGTCTTGCCCGTGGTACCAAGTTCTCAAGTCCATATCCTAAAACAAAGAACCACAGTCTATACTTTATGTTTGTAATTAGTATACGACTTGTATCTGTCTCATGGAGGAGTGCTTGTTTTTTCCCCCTCTCTTTTTTCTTTCCCTTAATCATAAACTATTTCCCCGATACAATCAGGTGTTTTCGGGTTTCCCGTTATAAATTTGAATAAGGAAAACGCGATTCGTTTACGTCAGTCCTGAATTTTGTAAACAAAAAGACATGATTCTGACACCGCAAGCTGCCCAGGTAAAACAGGTATCGGCGTTTGATTGTTGTTGAATTTGTACTTCAGTTATAAAGGATTCACTTATTTGCCTCATTTATGTGATTGTTACTGTAGTATCCATCTGACAAGATAGGGCGAAATATGCCAGGCAATAAATTCTGAAATCTATTTTTGACTTCTTTATTCAAGTTTTCAAGTTTGTTAAAAAAAAACACCGAGGGTGTGTCATGCAAGTGGCGGTTATACTAAATCTCATAAGAAAACGTTTTCAAAAGTCTAAATTGTCATAAATGGACAATGCTTAAGAAGTCTAGATTAGAAAACAAAATCAATACAAATGAAATGTGTACATTGTGTACAAGCATAATAAATGAAATGATTACTTCGTTTTATAAATTCTTGAGACACGTTTGGAAAGTTTGAACTGCCATATTAAAGATATGCCTAGAAGTTTAAATCGTGAGTCATTATTGCCACATTAGTTCACAGTCTATTCGGTCATGAAAGTTTGGCGTTAACAGTCTCAACGTCTATAAGAGTGATTTGAAAAGTCTATCTTGTTAAATTAGGATATCGTTTCAAATTCATATGTTGGGATCTAATTAATGTTTCAAAAGTCTGGAATTCTGGCATAAAGATTATTTTTTTTTAAGAAAAACAAAATGTCATTATCAAATCAGTACATCTTTTCAAAAGTCTAGATTGTCGTAAGAGTTTGCGTCAAATGTTTAAATTATCATTAATGACAGCCTCTTAAACAGCTAGATTGTCATATAAGTTTAGTATAAAAAGTCTAAATTGTCACTTAATGACAGCCTTTCACAATATCTAAATTGTCATACAAGTTTAGCGTGAAAATCTGAACTGTCATATAATTACAGCCTTTTAAAACCTCTAGACTGTCATAAGGTGCCAGCGTTTACATCAAGCAGAACATCATGTCACCATTTCATTTCCCATGACCTTGAACCACGCACATGAAACACTCACATATAAAAATCCGTCAGCTCTCCAGCGGCCACTCCACCGTTAAACCACCTTACACTTCACCGTTAAACTTTTAACCAACCCTACCGTTAAACCACCCACACACTCCACGGATATACCCACCCGTAATGTCACCATCCAAAAAACACAAACCCTTCTGTCGGTTAGCTAGATCACCAAATTTGCCCTCGACTTTATTTCCACCAAAGAAAGCTCCAAATTTCCCATCATGGCCCCGACACTCTCTGGCTCTTAAATACAGCTTTCTATTTCAGCCCAGGCAAATGACTCCAGGATTCAATTTTGGCGCCATCATTGCTTTCTGTAAACTCAATTTGATGAAGTAAGGTCAAACAGCCCATTCAATAATGAATGTCTGCTGGGTGAGCTGGCTGCGGCCTTTGAGTGTCAGTGTTCACTATTAGTTCTGACATGTGCCCACTGTTCGGGAACTTAACGGAGATATTAAGCTTAAGAAAGCGTTACAGGCCTCGTCGATTTAAAGGTTGGTGGCTGTGGTTCTTAAAACGGGGAATTCTTTTCCGGCTTTATTTTAGGTCTTATCCTTTGGGGTTGTGTGATTTGCTGGAGGCAAGGCGGGCTTTGTTGTTTGATGAGGGTGATGATGTGGAGAAGTTTGGAAGGAAATCACTTGTCTATATCGATCGGACTTGTATCGATCGATGCTGTATGTTTTATTTTTATTTTTTTTTTTTAATTTATGGTTCCATATTTAAATAAAGCAGACACAAACAATACATTGCCCAATTTATTGGCTGGCCTATTTCGTTGCATCTGGTCAAGCGCATTACTACATTCAGATTACATTCAGTTACATTCAGATACAATAAAGCATACAATAAATCCTTATCACCGAAAAGGACAAATCACATCGGCATCTCTTGTTTTACAGAAGACTCCAAGATCGGACGTACAAGGTAGCCATGTGATTACCACGGAAGTTTGAAATTGACATGCTCTTGTTTGTTTGCACACAGCATTCATGTTTATTTTTGTTGTTATGGCTTCAACCAATTTTAGTAATCGCCTGTTCAGTATGTGGTAGATAACATGGAAGACACAAGTTTAGCTGTTGGCGTGCTTGCCTGCAAAGATATCAGTTGAGTTCAGTCAGCATCAGTGTGGGATGTGTTTCTCAAATTTGTAAGGCTTTGGGGTCAACCCAATCTCACAGCAAGGGTACCATGTAATTTCTATTCCAGAGACCACAGAGGAATTTTACAACATCTGGACTCTTGAGTGAGACTTCCGTGTAATTGATCCTCTCAACTTAAAGTGAACACGGGGCTGTTCAAATTCGAGGAAATATTATTAAAGTTTAGCATTTACTGCACCCATCTATGCTCCACGTATTCGGGCTTTGAATCATACAGCCAAGCCTTGAACGTCCATCGTTGCCATGCACACAGTTAGCACTCAGCAGGACACATCAGGGTCGTCTTCTCTGAGCCTTTCTTCAACGTAGTTTTCGATGCAGACGACCCACTTTCTCTCCTTCTTGCTCTGGGGTCCTGTCGCAGAATAACTCGCTATTCAGCTATCACCTCAGTTATCTTGTGTTTGCAAGTGAACTCACACAGTCTCGTGTTTTCACTATCTCACGCTGACTTTATATTTTACAACCTATGAATTTCCCTAATTCTATCAACTAATCAAACCCCTTAAATTAATCCTATATTTAACATCACTAAACGTTACAAGGTTAGCTGCGTATCCTTTACAGGACTTTGCAGAACCAACCCCAACAGCCCCTGGGTGTTGTGTGGTTTTGCTAGGCAAATTTACGTCCAGTAGTGTGCCATTGCTTTCTGGACACACATTTCAAAGACTGTAGAAAAGTCATCCTAACTTTACCACTCAAATTGCAGAGACTGCAGAATATGTTTTCTTTACTTTAACAGCACATTGCAAAGACTTTAGAATTGTTTTCACTAACTTTACCAGTCATATTACTAAGACTGGAATAGTTTCCTTAGCTTTGCCATTGCAAGTAAGGTAGAAAAAGTTCATTTTATTATTGCTATTGTTCTTTACCCTATCCCCGTTACTCATTCAAGTCCTGTTTAACTCTGCGGTCTGCTTTCTCCTTCTATTCCCAGCTGCCTTTGAGAAGCTGTTCAACCGTCTCCCAAACCACGTGCTCACGGTTAAACACAAGAGAAAGATTCCGGATGTCAGCGTGGAACAATGCGCGCGCAGGTGTATCTTTGAGCAGAGCTTCCGGTGTGCTGGCTTTGACTATGAGCCCGGATATGCCAACTGTTGGCTCACGCACCTGACAGTCTCTGAGAGTGATGGCGCCAAGTTTCATCCAGGGGCAGACTTCTATGAGCGGGATTTTGGTAAGTTCATTTCACTTCGATTTAAAATCTTTCTATATTGTACTTAACGGTTAAGAATGCTGGGGAAACAATCAAACCAAACAAAACGTAGATCAAGCCATCTTTCCAATATCACAAAGACAAACGACAAGGGAACCTTATGGTTGAAGAGTTTCATAAGCACAGTATATGAACATCAATAAACCAGATATGACGAATAAAACATAAAATCACTTAACTTAAGAGAAATAACATGTCTGTATTGCCAGTTGAATCTCTGACACGTGTGTGACCACCAAAAATGAATACTAGCCAGAAAAAGCTGTGAACTGCAGGGGCTACAACTTAAAAATATTGGATTAAAAACTATGATGAATGTTATGTCATCTAAGTGTTTGGATAAGAATGATAGAATCCCGTGTGGGTGTAAAGTAAAACACAAAGGACACTTTACCAAACCCTTAGGCATATTGGGCATACACCGCTAGACCTATATTTTATAGATTAATCAGCAGTCAGCGCGTTATGTGGCCAGCATCAATTTACCAAGTCGACCTGGGGTCAAAGGTCATTTTTGGAAAAGGCTCCTCTCCGTTCGAATTTGAACCCATGACTTTCAGATTCGCAAGCGAGCGTCTAGCCTCTATAAAAAGGCGGTTCCCACCGAGTTCGAAACCCCATAGAGGCAGTAGGCTCTTTTCTAGTCGGGGATACACATACATTCGCAACTTGCACTGTTCATGGCGACAGCGCTGGTCACACAGTCTGAACTGGTACGGTTAAAGAACCCGCACGGTCCGTACTTGTGGTTTTGGAGATTTATGTAATGTGCTGATGAAGGCTCTTTAGCCAGAGCGTTCATTTGTCTTTTATGTTTGTGATAATGTTAAGCTGAATGGTTCTACTCCTTGTTTAGCTTCATATCCTTCCCGACGGAGACTTGCTATTGTTAGGTATTGTGCATATGGTGCTGTCTCATACTTGCATAAACCAATCGACTTACAGTGGGTCAATCTGGTAATTATGACACATGGTCACCCTTAACTCCAGAACATTTTCCGAGACTTAGTTTAGGCTTGGTCGACATATCTGCCTACCAGGTGATGCACATAAACTAGTCTTAAGTTTAGAAACCAAACGCCCGGCTCGCTAGCGCAGTCGATTAAAATCCTATGCGCAGCGACCGGGTGACGAATTCTTTGTGGCATAGGTTCACGCCCGGGGGTAGGCAGGGAAGCCACATTTCTCCCAGATTTACGGTATCTATCATGAAATCAAGGTCCAAGGGTTGCGATATCCATAGTACCGAGCCAAAGGGTTTACAACTCATGGTTTCTGGATACTTTGAAAAAAATGGCAAATAGTGAGGCACTGAAAATATTCCTGAAAATATTAAACTCCGGATCTCAAACAATAGAAGAAATAGGGTAAAATATGTTGGACAGAAAACAAACAAACAGGGGAACGGGGAAACGGTGCATAGACTTCCACACAAGCATATCAATTACAACTTCTACGATTTTTCATGTGAATTTAAATATTTAAATTAATTATCTGTTTATCCTATTGGCTGAGGGCGCTTCAACCAGTCATAAAGATCTTCGAACACGTGGTCATTCGCCATTAAAAAAAAAATCTACCTCTAGTGTCTTTTTTTTTTTGGTTATTATTCCGAACGGAATTTTTATATTTCAACAGCTGAAGAAATGAAAAACAATTTGATGCACGTGTCGCACAAAAGGAATAAAAAGGGGGTTATAATTATATTATAAATATCTTCTGCTCTGTAGAAGTTTGTTCAAACATTTTCTACATTTTCTTTGCGTCGCTTATTTCTGTTTTTGTATTTGTTTCCTCTTTGTTCTTTTCTCCAGTTCGCAAACGAGATCCTTCTGGCCTAAAGGCCGTAGCATCAGATATTTCTTTCATTTACGGATATAGTGATTTCCCTGAAATCCATATTGTGGTAGTTTCCTCCGACTTTCTATATCCGCCTGCCTTAGGATTAAATCGGCTGGCTTTACAAATGTTTTATGTAGCGCAAGAAACACACGGTTGCCTGCCACACGAAGATCGTGTGTTCGAATCCGCTACGAAGGGGATTTTTATTAAATGGCCTTGGCAGCAAGGTCATCCCTGTCTTAAATGTGTTACATGAACATTTTTAGGAAGTAAAAGCTGTCAGAATTATGTTGGTGACATCGTCAAACGAATGTCAATGGAAATATTAATCTAACACTATTTGCCATCTTCACTTACTGCGTGCAAACTCACTGACTTTCCCCCCACATCCTTTAGTGTTTTCTTTGTATCGGCAACCCTACACTGTGCCAACACACGAATATCCCCCCCCCCACACACACACACACACACACAAACACACACACACACACACACACACACACACGCAGGCAGACAAATACTGTACGAAACCAAATAATTTTATTTATAAAATGGTGAATCGGCTAGAATCAAAGAAGAATAACATACAATCTTTGACAAGAATCACAATATATGGAATCAATTCCTCTACAAGTCTCGGGAGAGCGGAAAGTTAGAGATTTGTTGATCTAATGTAAACGATAGGTCCACACAAGAGCTCACAAACACATCTCTACCCGGTCCGCGGTCGGTGAATGGGACATTCCATCCCTTAGTGTCCTATCGGTCAGACGAACGCTTCCCGAGGGCATACAAAGTCAATATATGAAGGAGAAAATAAGGACAGAGAAAAGATGTTGATGAAATAAGCACTATGTCTGGGGTTAGCGAGAGACATCAAACCTTTAAAATGGGCCAACAACGATGTTGAGTATTACAGATTGTCCGCGGATTGTCAGTTGGGTAAAGATTGGGGAAGCCACAGGGGAATATACATTGTTAAACATGGTCCACGACAAAAGGAAAACATTTTGGTGTGGGATGGGAAAGGGAGGGGGGGGCGGTGGAAAATCAGCAACCTAATAATGTTCTAAGAAACTGGCTGTCGCGGCACCCTGGGTTGTCGCTAGCGTATATCAGGGGTGCCATGAAAAAAAAAATAAAGAATAGTCGGCTACAAATTGTGACATTCTTAAAGAAGTCATACAAAAACGAACTGCTGAGCGAACGATGATTGAAATGCGAATTCAGTTGCATATGTTCATGTTTGGCTTTGTTTCGGCTGTGAACGAACAGGCACCGGAAGAGGAATACGTAAACTGACGAAGAAGTGTTCCTAACGGCTGCTTGGTTCCGTCCAAATTAAAGAGTCATCTGGAATGCTATGATTCTGATGAAGTACGTGAATGTTAGGAAATGTTCAAACGCTGCGCTGTATCTTTTCAGAGAGGGTCGTCCATGATGGAGAGGGTTTCTAAAAATAAAAATGAAAAGGATATAATGACACATTCATCCAAACAGTTTCATCAATTGCATTAAAGACAACTAAACATTAAAAAGCCACAACATTTTTTCTTCTTTTTTCTCTAGTTTTTCAACATCATTAAGTGTAGTTGTGTCGCGATTTTTTTTGTTAGCCCTACAAAAGTGCCGCTGCTGAAAAAGTTTTGGTACCTAATAACAGCATGACGTAAAAGCCGACTATATTTGGGTGTTTAAGAGACGAAAAACAACAATCTGCATATGAATAAACAGACGTGGAGAAACACTTAGAACGTTCCGGTGCAGTTTACGGTGAGAAGAAAAAGAAGAGGAGGAAGAAGATGAGCAAGAAAAAGAAGAAGAAGAGGGGGAGGAGAACACAAAGGTGCAGGAGGTGCAGATGACGCGAAGAAGCAGGATGAATTGAGACTCAAAACTAAATGGTAACAATAACGATTTAAAAAAAAACCAATGCATCCAGCGCCGGATCGAGCACTCGATGCTGGAATCATATTTTCATAAACCAGTCCAGACATGACTCAACTGCCACTAGGTGGTAATTGTTCCGGTCCGGTATACTCAGGATTCAAACTTGTCGCATCCAAATGAAAACAGAGCCTCGTTGCAGGAAGGATGGTCGCCAGTTTTCTTTCCTTCTTTTCTCAGTGAAAACTTATTTGGAAGCTGCAAAGATTTCTTTTTATAGACGAATGATGAGAATACACTAGACAGATAAAAAAAAAGAGTAATGAAGCGTCTTGAAAAAAAAAACTAACTTACAAAAAGAACTGATTGGTCACATCAGAAAGAGACAACCTACTTTCTTTTGTCATGTGATGAGAAGGAGAAAATTGGAGTACAGTTTGACGGTAGGAAAGTTGGAGAGAAAGAGATTCAGAGAGAGACCGAGAGAACAGATGCTGCACAGTTTGACATCATGGCGTGGAAGATCATTTGAGTCAGAGTCGATTGAAATTGCACCAGACAGAAGGTTGTGGATAGACGTGATTACCGACGTCACACGGCTTTGACTATGGAAGATTATCTGTGTCAGGACTGATTGAAAGTACACGAGATCTTCTGATCCGAAAGCCCAGTTTTCTTGGCCGCTCGCCAGCTTCCCCTCCTAGATATACAGATCACCGTTCAGCTGCAAGCAATTTTAAAACCTTGGATCCCAGTTTTCAAGGATGAATCGACCCTAGAACGGGTCAGTCTGAAGAATTTCAGCTCTGCCACTGCTCGAGATTTACCCACAAACTACCGAATTGTTAAGAATGCACGCTAACTACAAAGATAATAGGACGCCCCGTCTGCCGATAGAACCCTTATTTAGAGATGTCGAGCGGGCCAATTTGAAAGGTAAATCAAGCCTGGTCTGCATATTGTAGACTGCAGCGGCAGACTGCGCTAAAGCGATGTGGATCTATAAACTAAATTAAGATTCTGTTGCATTGCAAGTTGGGTCAATTTGCTGGTGAGTCCAGAACTATCGGATCCTGATGTTTTGAATCAATTTCAGCGACCTGATTCCATTTTTTAGTAGCCGCTGGGCGGGCCCCAGACAGAATGGTGCATTTAAATAAGAAGCTTTTTGGAAAGTAATGGTACCGATATATACTGTAAGAGTTATTTCCTGATAAGGTAGATAACAGAACACCTCGGCGGTGTCTAAAAGAGAACCATATCAGCATGGCTTTCTTAAATCAAACAAAATTGAGCCAGTACTCGCTACAAACTCTGTGGCTAAGTTGGTGCGAACGCTTCGTAATGCCGGGATGCCGGGTTCGATCCCAGCTGCGGGCCATGAACCTTGCGTTGGTTTTGACAGTGGTATCAAGAAAGCCGAACCGTCCAGAAAGCAATGGCAAACTACTGGAGGTAAATTTGCCTAGAAAAACCACACAACAGCCAGGGGCTAAGGGTTGGTTCTGCAACGTCCTGTAAAGGATATGCAACTAACCTAACTCACTACATAATATTCTTTTAAATTGCTGGTACTCACCACAAGTAAGCGTCTGTGGCTTAGGAGTTGCGAACGTGCCTTGTAATGACGGGGTGTCGGGTTCGATCCCAGCTGCGGACGGTTTGTCTTACGCTGGTTCTAATAAAAATGTGCCTAGAAAAACCACAACAGCCAATAAATGCTGGGGTTGGTTCTGCAACGTCCTGTAAAGTATTCACAGCTAACTTATCACAAAGTATCCGTTTTAATATCGCACACACAAATGATGAACAAATTCCATTGCTGTGTAGAGTTGCCGAACAACTGCTTTTAAGATTTGCTAGTTGTGTAGTGTATCCTTTACCTGTCGTTGTAGAGACAATCTTCACTTTTTTTTTCTAGCTGTTATTACTGGGACATTTCACTTTCAGTAGTTTGCCATTGCTCCCTGAATGTTGAACGCTTAACAGCATTGTTAAAACCCACGTACAGCGGCTTGATGATAAATCGCATGCAGCTGGGGTTGACCCCGATATTTCAGAATTACCAAACGAAACCGTAACGCTGAAGCAACAGACACAGACTTTTAGGATAAGAATAACTAAAGGATGGACACTGACTTTATGAACAAATATAATTGTTTTACAACTGTTAGTACTAGAGAACCAACTGCAAGAGTACAACTGTTAGTACTAGAGAACCAACTGCAAGAGTACATCTGTTAGTACTAGAGAACCAACTGTAAGAGTACAACTGTACAACTGTTAGTACTAGACAACTAACTGCAAGAGTACAACTGTTAGTACTAGAGAACCAACTGCAAGAGTACAACTGTTAGTACTAGAGAACCAACTGTAAGAGTACAACTGTTAGTACTAGAGAACCAACTGTAAGAGTACAACTGTACAACTGTTAGTACTAGAGAACCAACTGCAAGAGTACAACTGTTAGTACTAGAGAACCAACTGTAAGAGTACAACTGTTAGTACTAGAGAACCAACTGTAAGAGTACAACTGTTAGTACTAGAGAACCAACTGCAAGAGTACATCTGTTAGTACTAGAGAACCAACTGCAAGAGTACAACTGTACAACTGTTAGTACTAGACAACTAACTGCAAGAGTACAACTGTTAGTACTAGAGAACCAACTGCAAGAGTACAACTGTTAGTACTAGAGAACCAACTGCAAGAGTACAACTGTTAGTACTAGAGAACCAATGGCAAGAGTACAACTGTTAGTACTAGAGAACCAACTGCAAGAGTACAACTGTTAGTACTAGAGAACCAACTGCAAGAGTACAACTGTTAGTACTAGAGAACTAACTGCAAGAGTACAACTGTTAGTACTAGAGAACTAACTGCAAGAGTACAACTGTTAGTACTAGAGAACTAACTGCAAGAGTACAACTGTTAGTACTAGAGAACTAACTGCAAGAGTACAACTGTTAGTACTAGAGAACGAATGGCAAGAGTACAACTGTTAGTACTAGAGAACTAACTGCAAGAGTACAACTGTTAGTACTAGAGAACTAACTGCAAGAGTACAACTGTTAGTACTAGAGAACCAACTGCAAGAGTACAACTGTTAGTACTAGGAAACCAACTGCAAGAGTGCAACTGTTAGTACTAGAGAACCAACTGCAAGAGTACAACTGTTAGTACTAGAGAACCAACTGCAAGAGTACAACTGTAAGTACTAGAGAACCAACTGCAAGAGTACAACTGTTAGTACTAGAGAACCAACTGCAAGACTACAACTGTTAGTACTAGAGAACCAACTGCAAGAGTACAACTGTTAGTACTAGAGAACCAACTGCAAGACTACAACTGTTAGTACTAAAGAACCAACTGCAAGAGCCAATGTTCTCATTAATAAAGTTCAGGCTAAAATGGAGCTACAGCCTTTTGTGACAACGTCGTTGTGGAACGTTAGGTCTATTCTCCCCCCCCCCCCTTCCACCCTCCCGGGCTTTTCGCCCTCCAGTGTAGTGGGAGAATCAGAACAGACACGAAAAAGGAGGGGGTAGGTGGGGGAGGGGCTACAAACCCTCGCAGTCACTCAGTGCTTGCATGGCGGAATCTTGGACAATGGGAAACGACATTCATTCGGCTGCAGAACCCTTCCTGTAGACGCTAGCGATGCTACTCAAGGGGTAGTTAGAGCTGGAAGATAACACCAGAGGTGGCGCAGGGTGAGAAGTGGGCCTGATGTCCGGAGGTTTAGGGTAGAAGAAAAGTAAGCCAATGTACAACCCATGGGGGCGGGTCAGGGTGGTTGGATTTACCTAAACCTCCCTGAAGAAAGTAGGTCACTCTTCATTCACAAGTTTGTTGGGCTGGTCGACTTTTCTGATGGTTACAGGGAGCCCCGCTTTATTGTTCGCTTTCTGCGGTGTCTTGAGTAAAACTTTTTTTTTCTGAAAAAGAGAATGCCTGTGACATAGGTGACAACACTCTCAGTGGGGAGGGGGGGGGGTTGAGGATTGGGGGGGGGGAGTTGTGTAAGCGCCAGTTGCTGAAATATCCAACACGCTATGTCAACAGCATCACGGAACACCCCCGTAGCCTTGTGGCAAGGTGACAGGTTCAGGAACCACTAATCAGAAATGACCTAGTGTGTATATGGGCGGGGCGTGGGAAAATCAACGTTACTTTTACCGGTCAGGGATTTAGAGTCGGGTCCAGGTGCGGCCATGTGCAACACCACAGAGAAAATATGGGGTGGGGGTGTACAAATTCCGTAATTCACCCCCCCCCCCCCCCCCAAAAAAAAAAATATTTATAGTGGCTTAAGCCTTATGTGATTGTACAATTGTTGTTTTTATGTGTGTTATTATGATTAATATTACGTGATAATTGCCAGTAAAATATATCTGAAAAATACTTCAGATTTTCTATGTGGGTGTGTATGTGGTGTGGGGGAGGGGGTGGAGAGAGGTGGGAAGGTCCTACTTTTATCACATGACTTCAAGTTGGACGGAAGGGCGGTTTGATGTGTTACCATGTATTCGGGTGTGGGGAAAAGAGAGGGGAGAGGGTGGGGATGGAGGGCCAGAAAACGGTTAAAATTCAATGTTGTCGAATAACGTGAAAAAATTGTGGCCTTTTTTTATTTTTAAATTTTAATTAATTTTCTTGCATTATTTTCTGTTTGTCCCCAGGGGGCGCACTCTCTAATTTCATCAGTTATGGATCCGGCTCCCTGCCCTATGTGGACGACCGACCCATTTACACCAAGACCATGTTTGGCCTTGACCTAGGGGCCTGTGCTCAAGTATGCCTTTCACAGACCTCCTTCGAGTGTGCCAGTTTCGACTACTCCTTCGGTGATCGATCTTGTCATATGAGTCGCTACGTGGCGTCTAATGTGGGTGGTATCGATAATGACAACAACATGCCCACCTATCGTGTTATGCATTATGAGAAGAAAGGTAAGCAGAAGGTTTAAATGTTGTCTTTTTTATTTGTAATCCTCTCTTTCTCTCTCTCTCTCTCTCTCTCTCTCTCTCTCTGTCGGGCTCTCTCTGGCTCTCACTCTCTCTCTCTCTCTCTTACTCTAGCTCTCTCTCTCTCTCTAGCTCTCTCTGGCTCTCACTCTCTCTCTCTTACTCTAGCTCTCTCTCTCTCTTACTCTAGCTCTCTCTAGCTCTCACTCTCTCTCTCTCTCTCTCTGTCGGGCTCTCTCTGGCTCTCACTCTCTCTCTCTCTCTTACTCTAGCTCTCTCTCTAGCTCTCTCTGGCTCTCACTCTCTCTCTCTCTCTCTGTCGGGCTCTCTCTGGCTCTCACTCTCTCTCTCTCTTACTCTAGATCTCTCTCTCTAGCTCTCTCTGACTCTCACTCTCTCTCTCTCACTCTAGCTCTCTCTCTCTCTCTCTCTCTCACTCTAGCTCTCTCTGGCTCTCACTCTCTCACTCTGTGTGTCTCTTTCTATCTGCCTATTTCTATCTGTCTCGCTCGCTATCTGGATCGGTCTGTTGTCTGAGTGTACCTGTGTCTGTCACTGCCTGTCTTTCTTTTCTCAACTTCTTTCTCGTCATTCTCCTAGTTTGATTGATTTGACTGATTGATTGGCACCTTTACGTCTCTCTTTACGTCTTTTCGGCTGTGTTGTAAGAAGAGGGAAAACAGAACATGTTGTGACCACTGGAGAGATCTGTGGGAGCTCGGGGTGGAGGAGGACAGCGGGAGAAGATGCTTGACAGTCTTGTTGCATGGCATGAAGGTGTATCTGCACACGAGCTGATACATGCTGCAGGAGATCGCGGGTTATGGAGAGGCATGATCGTCCGCGTTAGTCGGCAAGGCACCTGATGATGATGATGACACCTGTCCAGGCGATAGTGTTATATGAGGAGGCATGAGACTCAGTCCATGGCTTGTCCTCCCCATAGCCCAAAGCCTAGGCAGTCAGTATTGTAAAGAGCACTTGCTCCCCGTGCATCATGATCCCTCTCTCGATATGACGTGTTTACTCCACAGGAAAAGGTAACACTAGTAGGTTTGGAACACAGAAGGCTGAAGGAGCAGTTTTCTATCTGTCCGCCTGCGGAAGCTTCCCTCCTAGACCATCTGCCAGCCAAGGCGAAGAGCCTTGTCTGCCCTGTCATAACATCAAGTTTTCGGGTTGCATTTCCGCTTCCTGGGATACGGCCAGTATCATCCCCAATGCGTTCCACCCCCCCCCCCCCAACCCCCTGCCCCCCCCCAACCGTTGGCACAATATCGGATGTCAGGTTTTGTATACGCCGCCCAACATAAGACTGGTGGTACAGCTACTGACCCTCTCCCAGTACCTCTCCACTACCACCACCACCACAACAACAACACAACAGCAACAACTAATACTTTAAGTGTTACTGCTAATTTATCTTCTTCTTCATTTTTCTCCTCCAACCTCCTCGCCCTTTCTGATTTATTAAGCCTACAATTCCGACTTTACAAAATCCTAGATTAACAATCGCTCCGTGCTTTCTTATCATCAATGATTTCCACGTCCATTTGTGGCTTGCCATGCCACAGTCTCTCTGGGTACTTCCTCGTCCGTTTTTCCATCCATCAAACCTTTCTGACATCAGACGTGCCCCGGACTTATTGGATCGGGCCTTGGGACGTATCTTCTGGTTTAGACGTTATCAATCACTGGTTGCTCACCCTTTTGTCTTGTTAGGGGCTGTCAGAAATATGGATGTCTGTCCTCGTCTGCTGCCTTTTCTTTTATTCTTTCATTTCATATTTTCTACTGGGTGGACAAGGGGGAAAGGGAGGGTGGGCATTTTTTTATTTGCTTCTAGACCAAATTTGGTTCTACTCTTCTGTCTATCTATCTATCTATCTATCTATCTATCTATCTATCTATCTATCTATCTATCTATCTATCTATCTATCTATCTATCTATCTATCTATCTATCTATCTATCTATCTATCTATCTATCTATCTATCTATCTATCTATCTATCTATCTATCTATCTATCTATCTATCTATCTATCTATCTATCTATCTATCTATCTATCTATCTATCTATCTATCTATCTGTCTGTCTGTCTGTCTGTCTGTCTGTCTGTCTGTCTGTCTGTCTGTCTGTCTGTCTGTCTGTCTGTCTGTCTGTCTGTCTCTCTGTCTCTCTGTCTCTCTGTCTCTCTATCTATCTATCTATCTATATCTATCTATCTATCTATCTATCTATCTATCTATCTATCTATCTATCTATCTATCTATCTATCTATCTATCTATCTATCTATCTATCTATCTATCTATCTATCTATCTATCTATCTATCTATCTATCTATCTATCTATCTATCTATCTATCTATCTATCTATCTATCTATCTATCTATCTATCTATCTAATCTAATCTATCTATCTATCTATCTATCTATCTATCTATCTATCTATCTATCTATCTATCTATCTATCTATCTATCTATCTATCTATCTATCTATCTATCTATCTATCTATCTATCTATCTATCTATCTATCTATCTATCTATCTATCTCTCTCTCTCTCTCTCTCTCTCTCTCTCTATCTATCTATCTATCTATCTATCTATCTATCTATCTATCTATCTATCTATCTATCTATCTATCTATCTGTTTGTCTGTTTGTCTATACGTCTATATATATTTCTGTCCGTCTGTCCCTTCGTCCCTTAATGTGTCTATGTATAATTTTTTTTCGTTCTTTGTTTTTCAAGATATTTCCTTGCCTATATTTTTGTTTTCTTTTTTAAAGTTTTGATAAGGAAAGCGTCCATTTCTGAATGTATGTAAACGGCAATTGAACCTGACAGCACTTTTCGCATCTTGATAAAGAGGTCGTTTTTTTTTTTTTTTATCTCTTGTTGGCTTGGCGCAATTTGCTTTCCCCCTTTGCTCTTATTTCTCTAAATTCACATTTGCAAAAACAAGCGTAGATAAAGATAAGTGAACACGTAGCTATAGTGAAATAAGAACATGAAGGGAATGGGGAGATTTTATAGCATTTCGAAATTTGTGGATTTCTGAAGAAAATTACGAAAATATACAAAACATAACATTTAATACATTATAAACACTCCTGTTATTAAAACATTACTGCTCTGTGTCAGTGGTCGAAACTCGAATAGCGCAGCGTGGACTCGGGTGCGACTTAAGACGCGTAATTAAGGGCTTGCGACTCGACTTGTGGTTTGGTCATATCGACTCGCAACTCGACTTTTAATTTGTAGTTTCGACCACTTCGTGCGACGCGTTTTTTCCCGCTGCCCACTGTGAACTACATCTATTGTTGAAATATATTTTCAGTTTTCTGTAAATTTTTTTAAAACAACAATACTTTTAACATGCTGTTGTATACGTCAGTTTAACTTTTAATTTACAAAATAGGAAATCTGGCAATTGTTAGCTGTTGTTTGACATTAACGTACAAACTAGTAAAATCCATAAGCGCTTGGGACTTGGTGGCAATGACTTGGCACTTGGTGACAAAGGCTTGGGATTTAGTGGCAATGACTTGGCACTTGGTGATAATGACTTGGGATTTAGTGGCAATGACTTGGCACTTGGTGAAAATGACTTGCCATTTAGTGGCAATGACATGGCACTTGGTGACAATGACTTGGGATTTAGTGGCAATGACTCTGGACTTGTGGCAATGACTTGATACTTAATGGCAATGACTTGGGACTTGTGACAATGACTTGATACTTAATGGCAATGACTTGGGACTTGTGGCAAGGACTTGAAACCTATGGCAATGACTTGGGACTTGTGGCAATGACTTGATACTTAATGGCAATGACTTGGGACTTGTGGCAATGACTTGGCACTTGTGGCAAGGACTTGGGGCTTGTAGCAATGACTTGGGACTTAATGGCAATGACTTGGGACTTGGTGGCAATGTCTTGGGACTTGTAGCAATGTCTTGGGACTTGGTGGCAATGTCCTCGGACTTGTAGCAATGTTTTGGGACTTGGTGACAATGTCCTGGTACTTGTAGCAATGTCTTGGGACTGGGTGGCAATGTCTTGGGACTTGTAACCGTGACTTGGGACTTGGTGGCAATGTCTTGGGACTTGGTGGCAATGTCTTGGGACTTGTAGCAATGTCTTAGGACTTGGTGGCAATGTCTTGGGACTTGGTGGCAATGTCTTGGGACTTGTGGGAATGTCTTGGGACTTGGTGGCAATGTCTTGGGACTTGTGGCAATGTCTTGGGACTTGTAGCCGTGACTTGGGACTTGGTGGCAATCACTTGGGACTTAATGGCAATGACTTGGGAAATGGTGGCAATGTCGTCGGACTTAATGGCAATGTCTTGGAACTTGTAGCCGTGACTTGGGACTTGGTGGCAATGACTTGGGACTTGGTGGCAATCACTTGGGACTTGGTGGCAATCACTTTGGATTTGGTGGCAATCACTTGGGACTTGGTGGCATTGACTTGGGACTTGATTTGGACTTGAAGGGTGATGACTGAGTCCTGCCTTTGATGCCTGTAGCAGCAGCGAAACATATCTAATGTTAGTACTTCAGAAACGTGCTAGTTATGTGTTCAATTTTGTGTAACACGAAACGAATATCAGCATAAAATGTACTTTTTTTAAAGTGATAAAAACCCTAACACCCCCCCCCCCTTTTTTTTTTTCTCTAACCACCCCTAACAGAAAAAAAACATAGCTTTAATTACTAAAAGTTTAAAATAATACAGTGCAAGCTTTATCCATTTATTTGAAAACGAAATTCGGATTTACTGTTTAACGTTTCGCTAAAACACTTATGAAACAAGGTCTCCCAGCAAAGTATTTGCCAAAGTTCCCTCATTACCTTATGTGCAGCTGTTTATCTCAGACATTTGCGCATACGCTCAACGGCTAAACGCTTTGTCGCTGGAACAGTGCAATGTACACTTCCATACATATTTGTTATTATTTTTACTTTATGATCTGGGGG